TTCCTTGATGAACCCCAGAAACAGAGTGTTCTTCTTCTTTTGCAGAGGGAGTTTCTTGATGAACCAGAGCATTCTTCTTCTGACTAACAGAAACAGAGCATTCTTCTTCAATTACAGCAGGCAATTGGGATTCTTTCATGTCATCAGATGGAACTAGAGCTGAATCTTGATTTTCTTGACATTGTGACGAAGAACTGACAGGAAAATTGGCCTTCATCCTAATGTGACACATAACAAATTCGTCATGAGCTGTATGTTGATATTTTTGTTTCAACTCGTTTCGTTTACTTTCAGTAAGGCTATATTCTTTCATAGTCCAGACATAATTGTCTTCAACTAAGCGGTATTTTTTCATAATGCCAATCTGTGATCCTTCACTATCTTCAAGTGATTCAGCTGTGCCATATTCTTTCCATACGCCGCCTGCAATCGCCCTGCTGAAGTACTTACCATCCTCTTTCTTTTTCTGTAACAGAGTGAAGACATAATGATCAGTCTTATTCGTCCCCAATATCTGAGATACCTTCTCCTTGCCATACAAATCTGCAAGTCCAAATACTTGCTCCTCATAAGGCACAAAGGTAAAAGATTTGATAAGAAACTCCATCAGTTGTTTATTAGTATAATTCGCAGCCATTTTTATCCTAAAGAAAAGAAACAGAGTATATTTTTTGTTGAAGAAGAAGAGAGCGAGTGAAAATATTGTAGGAAGAAACAAAATGAATACTCCACCTTGCTATTTATATATACACACATTTCTTTTTCTTTTTCTTTTTGTTAATTGGAATTTTCTTTTACACGTACCTAATATAGTGTTAAATCTGAAATAATTTTTTACTTTTATTGTTTTAAAATATAGTAAGTAATGCTTCAAATAATAGTTATAATTTGACCATTATAATCCTTTCTCCGTCTATTTTAGTTGTCATGATGCATTTTTCAAATATTAATCTGATTATTTTTAAAATTAAATTAGATTACATTAATTCGATATTTTAAGCTAAAATTTAAATTTAAACAATTATATGAAAACTATTGTAAATTTTTTGCATGTCAATATGATTCGTGAAATGTTAGTCAAACTTTTTATCGTTTTTGACTCTAAACATGCCAATATCATAAGTTCATAACACTATTAGTGTTGAGTTGAGCTGAAATTTGTTTTGATTATGGACAAATATCGACAAAAAGCCCTAGTCCTTAGCAGGTCACAATTAGTTTTTTGAGTCTTTTTGTTCTTGAGTTATAACCTACATGTTTTTATATAGACTAGTTTTCGGGCACGCGCTTTGCGCGTGTAACCCATGAGTGTATTATTTCTTAAAAGATAATACTACTTAATAATAAAATATGTCTAATTGAAATTTCTTACTTTGTTTTACTATTAATTGTGACACTTCAATTTTTCGACCTCCAAGTGAATGCATCGAGATAATAATATGAAAATTAATAAAACAAACTTTGTTTGTAATTCAAAAAATAAGTTTGCAAAGCTAAAAGAAAAAATAACAACTATCTAAATTAAATTTCTTGATAGTTT